GATTTTATACAGCTTCTCAGGTAATCAGGCCACTTTAGAGAGGACCAGGTTGCACTTGGTGAGGAAATAATATGTGCCTGGTCCAGCTATTGCCTTTTAACTATCAGATACTTACCACTGACTGGGATTTCTTGACCTCTTTGCTATAGACATTTGGGACTTGGTCATTCTACATTTTTATAGAGCTGTCTTACTGCACTTGAAGCCATTAGCACCTCCACTCCCATAATATGATGGCTCTAACTCTCCAAACATTGGTACCAAATGTCCCTTGGGGACATAAGTTGAGAACTGCTGATGTAGACCAACCTCTTGCATTGAAATTTTGGGCTCATGGGTCAGGGAGATCTAAACTTTGCTTCCTCCTAGCTGGTTAACTGTGTCCAAGCTTCCTGGCTTTCTTTAGTTCCTGTCTGTTCTAAAGACTAGTCATCACACCTTTCTTGCACAGGGCTGTTGATGATGAAAAAGTACACAAAACATTTTGTAGGCACGCAGTAAATATTAGTGTCTTTTTTCCTCTCCCTTGCATGTACTGCTATTATTTCAATGCTAGAAAACCGGGATGCTGGGAGAGGGGAGACCAAAACAGGGAGGATTTGCTCTCAGTTTCACTGGAAAAACAATTCCAGAATGGGACTATTTATAACAACCACATCCCTCAGTGGCAACCATATACAACTGTACCTCAAGGAAGTATCAAAGATTATAAAGGCATGCCCCACCCCCAAATACGGTGAGAAAGCATTCCTAAACCTTTCAAATGTCTTGGTGTCAGTTTATTGTCATGGCCATATACTCAGTTACATGTCAATGTCCAGGTAGGCTTCAATTTAAGAAAACTGGGTAAAACAATAAATATATTTAACACCCTATGGGAACTTGGTTGCATTCCTAAATGACTCTTTCTGAGCTTCTAGAGAACTTTATTGCGTCAACATCATTCCACATATAAAGTATTAGTTAACAGGCAACTCAGAGACACCAGTATAGAGCTTACTTCTCTACATGACTACAACTTTTTTTAAAATGGAGCACTTCTAATCACATACAGATGAGTGCTGCTTATGTCATTTTTAAGCATTGGGACCTAAATGTGAGTGCTAGGAAAAACTCAGTTTGCTTTTTTAAAACCAGCTTTAGTGAGGTATATTTTATATACCATGAAATTTACCTGTATATACATACAACTTCATTTTTAGTTAATTTAGACTTGTGCAACCATCAATACAATCCAGTTTTAACACCTTTTCAATTGATCCCCAAATCAAGGGAGCACTAATAGCATTCCTATGGCTTAAGAGAATGGTTTTTACATTTCTTAAACTAAATGAACTATAGTCCACAGGCTTGCGCAAGAGATCTGAGGACAAAGTGAAGTTAGCCTTTGTTCTTTTTGAACTGTATCCATGTTCCAGGTACTTCAATGTTAGAAGTAGAAACTATTGGCTCCCAAATTGACTACAGTGTGAGGTACGGTTGGGGGGTTAGATTGAAGATGAAGGGGGAAAGCTTCACCTTCTTCACGTTGAAGAGGGGACAGCATTGACATAAACAGACAGAAATGGGGAATGCGGAAGAAGACTTGAATAGAATGGAAAAAAAAAAAAAAACAGGCCACACAAAGATGCCAAGTAACTGAGGAGCAATAAAGAGTTTTCTCTAAGTAAATTAGTTGAAACTAAGTGGCTTAGTTCACAGGCTGTTTCCCCTTTGGAGGCTGGTTGCTATGTACTTTAGTGAGAAAGAAACTGAGAGTCACTCAACAGTATTGAAGTGTGACAATAAATCTCACCATGTGGTGGAAGTTACAATATACAGCATAATACAAGTAAATGTTATGGCACTTGACTTTCTGGCCTGTAATCTCCCATTCAATCAGAACAGAGATTCTTCCATCAGCAAGAGAAAACTGGACAATTGAATTTTCATTTCTTTTTATGCACAAGCCTGCGTTGGAGTTCTTCCATGTTTTCTATTATGTTACTTGAAATATGGCTGTATAGTATGATATAAACAATATCTCAAACTGACATCAACAACTTAGTTTTGGATCAATTGATTTCATTCTAAATTATTGCTGGCTGACAGATGCTGGTAGCTGCTCACATGAGATCTAAAAACACCATGTTCTCTAATTTAATATTATAATAATTTAAAATTACAGCTTTATTGAGAGGAAACACAGATTTATTTATATCCAACACTGACAATTTCTAATGGCTTTCAGGGCCATATAATGCTATTCTCCGCAACCCACATTTAGACAGCTTCAATTGTCTGAATCACTAACAAGACATTCTGGTGGAAATAATTTCCTCCTTGAAGTAAATCAATGAATAAACGCTACAACAGCCCTGAAGAGAGCCACTTCCTCTGTAATGTCCTTTTCTCTTCGTCCAATCTATCTACAAAGAACATTTCTGCCTTGGGATTCAGAGACAATCTGCCTAGAGACCCTCCCATCGTCTCTGTGATGTTGCAAAATGCCACTTGCCTTTAGTGTGGGATTTGTGGGGATTTAGTCCTAAGTCCTAAGTCGTATGTTCCTCTTTCCCGCTTTGTATGATGAAGATATTATTTTCCTGATCAGGTGGTCACTTCTAAACAAATAACATTAAAATAAATATGTCTACCTTATTGGAGCCCATCAAGTAGTTTGACACAATTTTCAAAGAGAAGGAAGTTGGTCAAGATGTTAGCCTTTATATATATAAGGAAGAGAAAGATCAGAGTCTATAAATTATAGAAGGCCACCAGCTAGGTAGCAGCAGATTTACCACTCAAATGCAGCCTGTTCCAGCACCCTGGCCTCAGCAAACCATCATTTATTCTGATTAGTGTTGACCATTCAGGCTTCCCATGTCATCTCACTTTTTGATTGTTGTCTTAGGGTCCAATGAAAGGCTGGGCTTGTGTGAGGACCTCAGAATCCAATCAGCCTTTTGTTTGAGTAGCAAGTACTCAAGTATGTACTGATTAATTACATAGCTGTCAATTACAATTTCTTACAATACAAACATTAAGTTGTTAACTTGAAGAATTACTGTATAGTCTTTTGAGATTGATGTCTTCTTGGCAAAATGATAGAACCAACCTCAGCACTATTTTACTGGGCTCCCAAATGCATACTCTGGTGCCTAGTTTCCATAGTATGAAAATCTTCTGTAGACTTACCCTTCCTCTCCCAATAGCTCCAACATTTTCAAACTAGCTGGTCAGAATGGAAAACACACTATTTATATTTTAGCAAGAGCCACCTTAGATATCTCCAGACCCAAAGACAGCAAGGGTCAAAGGCCAGTGCTCTTAACAAGCAAGAGAGTTTGCTGTATTCCAGAGGTGAGAAACACTACATGATCTTCACCAACATTTTGCCAACAAGTTACCCTGGCTTAAGATGTAGCACAAATACTGAAGTACAGTGTTAGAACTGAAAGTTCACCAGCCTCATTCTGATGATTCGCTTTCATTCACAGCTGATCACTGCTCTGCTTATCCCTGCCCTTTAACTAGATCAAAGCTATAGCAGGCCTGAATTTCTGCTGGTGCCACATCAGCTGAAGCTCACAGATTAGGCCTCCTGACTGGAATTTTCAAAGGCTGGCTGATGATGTAAACCAGCTTCTGGAAACAGGACAAGTACTTTTGGTATTTACAGTCACAACTGCACATCCTACCCACAAACCTTCACAAGGTCAGGCCAGAAGACGCAGGTCAGCAGTTTTCAAAGATGCCATTTTGTTACCAGATTCAGAAGAAAATAGCACCCAAACTGAGGGGGAATGCCAGGCAAGACGATTGCTCATGTTGGGCACTCTAGGGCTCTTCTATGGCCTTCCAAATCTTGGACATTTGTTTCTAAATTGAGTGACCAACACAGATGATGTTGCAAATCAATCTTCCATATCGAATCAATCCCTGGTAGTAATTGCCAGAGCTTAAGGAGATGATGTGGTTGGAAAAGAGCAATATGAGGAGATCTAATGGTGATGGAAATGGCCAGTATCTTGACTATGGAGGTGGATACACAAACCTACACATATAGCTCATATGACAAAACTACAGACAACTTAGTGCATGCATGGGGACTACTAAAAGCAGGGAAAATCTGAGTAAGATTGGTGGATTGTATCAATGGTGATGTCCTGGTAGAAATACTGCACAGTAGTTCCAAAGATGCTACTGGGGGAGAAAATTAGGTAGAGTGTGTAGATCTCTCTGTATCATTTCTTGAAAGTGGCTGTGAATTTACAATGATTTTACAACAAAAAGCTGAATTATAATTGGGCAAATTTGAAAATGTGGCCCTCTATGACAGCTAGAGTATGAGAGAATGCTAATAATCAACAAATTAAAGATGTGAAGTTAAAAATAAAGGCTAGTCCCTGGATCTGGATTTTCTAAAAGGGTTGCCACCTAGGTCAGTCTGCCAGTAACCTCATACCTACCCAGGCCTTCCCCCTACAGTACCTCTGACTTTAGTTTACACAGACAGACTTTAGCTCCCTTCTTGTTTATCACATGGTGGTATCTTAACTTTGGAAAAACTCACTCCTGTTTTGAACTAAGTGCCAATTACCATACCAAAGCTCATTTTAAACCCAAAATCAACATACTTAGTGCAGCATCTACAAGGAGCCCTGCCATTTTACATTTGTACCCGTTTACCTTTTTATACTAAATAACAAATCACTGGAAAATATGAGCACAAGTGTTTATGCCCATTTATACAAACAGGATTATTCATGATTACTTTTCATTAAACCTTGCAAGGAATTTCTGCTAAGGCCAGGAGGGTAAAAATCTCTGGCATTCTGTTTTCATCTAGAAACCAACATCAATTCCCTTCTCGTAGAACTGATTCCTAAAGCAAAGCAAAGGTGGGCAACCTGGCATTTCAGTGGGCATGTTAGTTCTCATCACACTGCTTAAAGGGTCAAGCTGGGGTTTGCAGTTCTTTCTAACTCTATAAAGAGAATAACAGTGTTCCTACTTACCAATGTCATTGCTGCGATCTGAGAGATCCTTGTCCAAGATGCTGGATAGCGTACTGCCCGCCAAATCAATCTTTTGACCGTCACCCCTACATTAAAAACATAAGCCCAGACATTTAATTATTGGTGTGTACCTTGGTAATTCTGCCAGCTTTCTTGCCATATATACCTTAAGGAGGGTGCTAGACTTGGGATGAGTGGCAATGTTGCCTGTAAGAGAGCCAGAGAGAGCCAATGAGCTGTCCAGCCACATGGGCTGTGGCCAGCAGACTGGATGGTCCCCTCTCTTGCACATATATTTGATGATGGCTAGTTTAATAATAACTGTTTGCCAGAACACCTCCAGCCACAAACCCTCCCACTGTGTACACAGGGTTAGGATTTAGGCCTTCTCCCGCCCCGTGGCCAAATAAGCACTGCCAAACTGGGAACTTCCCTTTTAAGGAACATGGAATTTAGCCAATCCTGCTTGTCAAAGGTCAGCTACTTTTAACCTTGAGAAAAAGGTTCTCTGGCCTGAGGCTGAGGCATCAGCCAGGCTGTTGACAGGGACAAGGTGTCAAGTTGAGATCTGGCAGCCTGAAAGCTGGCACCGGGGCACAGGTCTGTAAAATGAGATGGCTGTGGGGGGCGGTGTTCCTATGCACATCAGGACATGAGTGACTTCCCTCTGTATCTGGGCTGGAAGCAGCACACATTTGGGATGAACAGGCCCCCAAGATAATGAGAGAAACACTGTCTCCTTGTGCATTAGCGTAGGTTCCTCCATATGCCTCCAACAGGGCAGTTCTGTGGCTGTTTTGAGAGGAGAGCCCTGAACAGGACTATCCCAGGGCTGTGACAGCAGTTAAGTAGGAAACAATTCTTGTCTATAAAGTGAGAGAGAGAAGCCGAGCAGTTGTTCCAGGCAAAGCAACAGAAATAGTCCCTGTCACAGCTCCTGAAGGTCATCATAGCCTGAAGTTAAACTACATGAGTGACAGATTTACTCAGCAAGTCCCTGTCAAATGCTTACTGAACTGGGGGTATGGCAACGGCCAAGGCAGCTAGTACCCACTATGTAGAGGCACATAATCAAAATGAGAAAGACAGATAGATAAACATAGGCCCACATGGCATAGGCCATGCAAGATATGAGTGTGTCACCATCCTGGATAGGTAGGGAATCTCCATGGCCCAGGATGGAAAGTATACAGAAGAGGCAGTATTATACTTGGGCCTTGGAGGAAAAAAGAGGTGAGAACATATTGTAAGACTGAGGAAGGGAGGGCCCAAGTGCAGTTGAGAGTGTCCATGTAGCCAGGGGTCCCAAAGCTAAAACCTAAAGTCCCCAGAGAGAAGCAAGAGAAGAGTTGGCCAAGTTGATGAGAGCCAGCCTGTGCTGGACCAGGCATGGCAAGTTTTACTTGTCCTGAAGGTAGTCTAGCAGAGGACAGAGGAAAGTTTACAGCAGAAAACCTGCAAACCTGGAGGAAGGGGTGCAGGTAAAGTCTGAGCCAGGGAGTTAACAGTGTGACTCCTGGGCTTTTCACTGTGGAAGATGGAGTGGCAGTAATATTCAGCATGGTGTCATGTCTTTGCAATGGTAGAGAAGGATCCATGGAAGGAATGAGTCTCCTTCACCTTAAAAGTAAACACCCCTGACTCACACTGGACCAGAGCTGGGGACTGGACATGAGCCCAACAGCTTGTAGACTGTCCCGTGAGTATACATTAGGGCACTTGCTGAACATTTCAGAGCTAGGCTGAAACAGTTCAGACACACCATGATTCACTGTACATGGAAAGGGAAAACAGCTTGGGTTTTATAGATGGTTTTTGTTTCCTGCCTCACCTAACTTCTTAAGGCTGTAGAGTGCCAAGCCAGGGCTCTACCACAGACTGTCTCTCCATTCCCTGGTCACCAAAGCTCAGGCCACTCAGGGCCACTGCCTTAGACAGATTGAGAGCTAAGTGGAATTGTGGGATGGAGAAAGTTTATTTCCAAATATTTTCTTCTCGGGGCTCCATCGTTCATTCATTTGAAGGTATAGTCAACCCTTCATAAACTCCTTATCTGTGAATTCAACCAACCTCAGCATACATAACACAGCAGAAAAACAAAACAATATGATTTTAAAAAGGGTGAATGACCTGAAAAGATACTTTTCAAAAGAGAATATACAAATACCTATCAAAAATGTTCCATATCATAACAGAAATACAAATCAAAAACACAATAAAATGGAAAAAAAACCACAATAAAGCCGGGAAGACAGCTCAGTGGTATAAACACCTGCTTGGCAAGTGCAAGGTCCTGAGTCCAATCCCTGGTACCACACAAAAAAACCAATAATAAAAGCACAATGAAATATCATCTTGTTTCAGTTAGAATGGTTTTTATCTAAAAAGCAACAAATGCTGGCAAGGATGAGAAAGGGAAACATTTATATACTGGTGGTCAGTATGGTCACTATGGAAAATAGTATGGAAGTTCCTTAAGAAAACTAGAAGCAAAACTACCATCTGATTCATCAGTCCCATTTCTGGGCATAATATCCAAAGGAACTGAAATCAGTATGTCAAAGAGACATCTGCACTTCACTGTTTGCTGCAATGCTATTCACAATACGCAAGATATAGAATCAACCTTGATGGAAGAACTGATTAACAATACAGTATAAATACATAATGAAATGCTACTCAGCTATAAAAAGAAAAAAATTCTCTTTTGCCATAACTTGCATGGAAATGGAAGACGTTATGTGAAATAAGGCACAGAAAGACAAATACCACGTTTTCACTAATACATACGGCCAAAAAGTTTATCTCAAAGAAATAGAGAATAGAATAATGGTCACTAAAGCCTGGGAAAGACGTGGAAAGGGAGTGGGAGAGAATGATTAGTGGGTATTGAGATATAGTTAAAATACAGGGGTAAATCTTAGTCCTCTTTTTCACACCAGTTTAATTATAGCTGACAACAATTAACTGATACCAAAAGAGTTAACAGAGAGGATTTTTGAATGTTCTTAACACAAAAAATGATAAATGTCTGAGGTAACAGATATGCCAATTACCCTGATCCAATCATTATATATTATATATGTGTACTGAAATGTTATACTGTAATCCATAAATATGTAAAATTACTGTGTTAATTCACAACAAATACATACACTTTTAAAAAGAAAATATTTAGAAGTAAAACTTGTGTCTATTCTGACAGTCTCCCCCTCCCACCATCATTCCCTATACAATACAGTATAACACCCATTTGCATAGCATTCCCATTGTATCAGGTATTACGAACCATCTACGGATTATTTCTGGTATGTGGCAAGGTATGCATAGTGTATGTGCAAATACTACCCAATTGTATATAAGCTGCTTGACCACTGGATGATTTTGGTATCCTTTCTGAGAGAGTTCATGAAATCAATACCCTCACAGATACTGGAGACAAGTATAATTTTTTCAAGGACATGTTTTTAGAACTGTAGAATTACTAGTGGGAAAGTATTTTCATTTTCAAAACTCTTCCTTTCCCCAGGAATAAGTTAGGCAGGTGTGGTGGTATATGCATGTAATCCCAGCACTTCAGTATGCTGAAGCAGGAGAATCACAAATTTGAATCAGATTGGCCAACTTAAAATAAAAAAGGGCTGGGGATGTGGATGTAGTTTAGTGTGAAGGCCCTGGGTTCAGTTCCCATTACTAAAGAAGGTATGAGGAGAAAGCAAAGAAAAAAGGAGTAAGTTCTTGAGGGCCCTTGAATATTCTATAGGATTTGGTGCCATCATTCTCCAAACTAATAAGACTAGATCCAAATATGTTCATAAACAGACAGTTCTATCCTTTCAGAATCCATCAGGAACTAGAATTTACCAGAACTTACATCCTGCCCCAGGAGAGAGGCCACTCAGGAAGTGGGTTTTGTCAACACCATGAAGTTTTCCCCCTACCTGCCCCTAGTCAAGAGGGAAGATAGTCTGAGGTGGCATCTTTAAATGAGAGAGGGTTTTAGAAGCAGATGGAGTCTTGTTCGTGAACTAATCACATGCATCTTTAAATAGCTTGACTACTTCTAAACATGTGGTTTATCCATGCATTTTGGTAACCATCACTCTTGGAGCACTGTGCCCCCCTTTGACAGCTGGAAGCTTCCAGTGAAATGTGAGCCTGTTTCAAGGGACTGAAGAAGATTACATTGTGTTTTCCTGTGCTTATGCTATTTTGGGATTTTTTATTTTTCTATACATAATCAAATCAGACTAATTAGCAAATCTATCACTTCAAATTCCACCATCTTTTTGTGGTGAGAACATGTAAAATCTTCTCTTTTAGCTCATTTGAAATAGACACACATTATTATTAACTATGGTTGTCAAGCTGTGCAACAGATCACTAGAATTTATTCTTCCTAGTGAACTGAAACTCCGTATCCTGATCAGTGTCTCCCCTTTCAGTCCACACATCCCCTCTGGCAGCCACTGGTGACAATCTGCCCCTCTACTTCCATGGGTTTGACTTTAGATTCCCCATACACGATCATAAAATAATTTTCTCTGTGTTTCTGCTTCATTTCACATAGTGCTATGTATTTCTGAAAGTTACCTCAAATCTTTCGTGAGATGGCACAGAGTAAAATTAAGA